TTAAAAAAAACCCCCAAAAACTGTAAATCACACACAACCACACATCTTTTTGTGTAACACATAGGTTAATTTATTATTATTTTTTTTTTAATGTAATGACTTAAGTTGTTTTTCAAGCACGAAAAGATCCCAATATTTTGCATTTTATTTCTATAAGTTGGCATCAGGCTTTTGCGTGGTTGCGCACTGGCCGTATTTTCCTCTTCGATAATGAACCGGGTCGGCAAACAATAAGCCGTCTGACCATTGTGAACCTCTCTGTTAGCGGATGATTATTTAACGACTAATTGTTCATTTTTGCACGCAGGGTCCAGATTTGTTTTGTCCTTCAAAGTAAAACATTCGATCTGCATCCCATTAAAAATGGTCTGAGGTTTTAAATGGAGGAAATATGACCGAGCTGTGAACAAGCGTTTGCGCCCTAAAAAGGGGAAATAATTAGGCTAATGTTTTCTGTAAAAGGAAGACGAAACCATTCAGGCCTTTGTGTGTCCGTGAGCGGTTGCAGAGAGAGCGAGAAATAGAGTAAAAACGCCATGCCAACAAAACAACTCTTTTGCAAAAGCAAATAAACGGAAGATTTAGGTCGGGTAAGCTCTGCAGCGCTGCTGTATCAACGGACAAAACAAAAAGCTTGAAGAGAGAGGCAAAGTAACAGCGATGGCCACAAGAAACACAGACAGAGATTAGAGTAGTTAGACTGTAGCCGTGGAAGGACCGCATCACCGATTAGGCCACGAATGGAAATAAAACAAAATACAATAAAAAAAATAAAAAAAAAATAAAAGAAATTTATTTTAAAAGAAAAAAGAGTGACTGAAAAGTTATTACAAGTCCTAATTGTCTTTGCTAGATAGTTGATCCTTGGGACAAAACACACTTTCAGGCCGGATTTCAAGCGTCCGCAGCCAAGATTGTGCAGCCCACGCACACAGCCGGCCCCACCACTGAACCACCGCAGAGTTCGTGTGGCAGGGAGTATTTCCAGCTTCACATACTCAATTTACAAGCTCCTTCTTTTGGCCTGAGACATGGGAGAAAGTGCGAAATTTGTCCCACCCTTACACTTTCCTTTTTAACTCGGCCAAGAGCTGCGCACAAAGCAAAGCCCAGCTCTGAGAGAGGGATCCCGGAGGGATTAAAGGCGAGCTGCAGGCCTCCCTTTAGGACTCGGAGAGACCTGCTTCCCAAGGTGCCTCTTGGAGACAGGGAAGGCTGTATCTGGTCATGTTAATATTTATCCTGTGCATGCACGAGATACTAAGTGATGGAATCCACAGACCCGAAACTGCAGAAAAGCCAGACAATTTGTACCATAATCATTTACTGCCAGGAGGTGCTTGTGCTTAGAATCAGGAGCCACTTTTTGCTGGATATTACTGTCACAATCAAGTTTATTATGGCAAAAGACAATAATAACAATTAAAATATATTTCATATATTTGAATGTAAATTAAAAGTTTGCAGTTAAACCAACTTTATGCCTCAGACATGTAAAATTTCTGCTTGACTGGAGCTACAAAGTAAATGTGTTATGGCTCCTTTAGACTCCAATACTGACTCCAGCTACTTTGTATGAAATTGTATCCAAAAAATAGTAATAATACTCCATATAAGCATGTGTAATTGTCAACCTGTGAGACCTGGGATGCTAAATAATGAGTCTTTTACTCGCTCTCTCTCGCGCGCGGACACACACACACACACACACACACACACACACACACACACACACACATGCTCACACTCTAATTAGGCAGTAGGCTGGCAGGAGAATGCTGTGATTACTCCACGAGTTACTCGAAGAGTTAAGTAGTACCCTGAAGGTGAGGCAGTGGCCTCTTCTCTCCTGTGCAAATAGGTGGAGGGATTGTTAGGGCTGTTAAGAGTGTATGTGCGAAGGGGGAGGAGGTGTGTATCTGTGGCCAGGAGCTGTCTGATGGTCACCTCTGCAGCGTAAATAGTTATTCCTAAATAACACAAGGGCTAATCCAAGTTTGAGAGGAGGAAAAAAACAAGCCCAGAGTGCACAAAATGCCAGATTGCTTTTTGGAGAAGTCGGAAGGGTGAATTTGTGTGTTTGGGATACATTTAACACGCACACACACACACACACACACACACACACACACACACACACACACACCAAGCTTTGCACATTTTATATTTATTGTCTTTTTTTGCTCTCGCCAAGCCCACAAAAAAAAAACAGAAAGAAAAGGAAAAGCTCTCATTTTTGTGTTTTTCTCTTCACTGTGGCCTTTTCAGCAGTGACGCTCAACAAAGGCCACATCCCTGATGATCATAGTAAAGCAGTGCTGGTTGCATTAAGGCCCATTTCCGCTGAGCGAGGCTTATAGAAGTGCTTTTGCACCACGTGCAGTCCAGACTCTGTAGAATCAATCAGGAAGGTCTTGCAAGCTTGACGCCAGGCTGCTCGACGGGATGGAAAACCTTTTGTAACATCACAGCCGACCTTCTAACTCAGAGCAGAGCTGGAGAATCTGCCGGCATGTCAACAAGCTAAACACCCAACCAGCCAGCCTGCCCAGATGCTCAGACGGACACACGACAGCCTGTTATACACACTCTCAGCAAGCAATGCCGAGGTATTTACTGCATAAAGTTTCCACTACTGTGGATATATCCTCTTCAAAACATTTAAGTGGACAAGGATGAAGTCATCCTCTCATCACTAGGGTTATTATAAGGAATGGATGCTTCCCAGTTGCCTTTTTCCCCCCCTTTGAAGAAGTCCCCCTTGAAGTGTGTTGAAAACACAGATGTCACAGTTTCCAATCGGCAGTGAAATTAGTGATGTTTTGATTACACTGGGCTTGGAGATTACTAACATAAACAGGTCTGGTGCATAGATCATCTTTTCAAGAGGAGGCATCATTCCCTTTTTCCACTCTGTCCAAACTCGGCAGCTCTCTCGGGCTTAGTGCTGATGAGAATCGGACGTCCAGCTTCCAGTTTTTCATCTGAGCATAAACTTAATGCTGACTAAGTGATATTTCCTTTTGTTGTAATGTTTCACTGGCTAAACTAAAACCGGCTGACCTGGAGAGCCTTACTCAGCACCAGAGTGACAGAGGTTCACTTCTTTATTATATAAAGTAATACGATTTACTCATCTTATTTCATTCATACTTTTTACATCTGACAGACTGACTTTAATAACAAATTAGTACTGTAAAACAAAAATCTGAAAATGATCAGCTGAATACGTGTGATTGTTTTTTAGCTACAATAATAAAATTACATTTAATTTCTATTGCACCAAATCACAACAGCAGTTGCCTTAAGGTACTTTATATCGTAAGGTAGAAATCCTATAATGATACAGAGAAAGCCCCAACAATCAGACGACCTTCTTGAGCAAGCACTTGATGACAGTGAGGAGGAAAAACTCCCTTTTAACAGGAAGAAACCTTCGGTAGAATTCGATTCAATTCAGTAAAACTTTATTGATCTTGAAGGTTGACCCCGAAGAAACCGGGCTCAATGAGAAGCAGCCATCTGCCGCAACCGGTTGGGGATGAGGGGAGGAAGACCGGACAAAATCAAAGCTGAATTGAGTTATTGTGCATGTTGATTGGATGACATAGCTGCAACAGGTTAGCTGCGTGAACCCCATTTTCCAGTATTTGGAGTAATATCTGTGGAGCCAAAAAAAATGTAGCAGCCGACCACACTGACCTAATTTCCTTCAACTGACCTGACACCATAATTTCAGCTATGAAACTGAGTAATTCTGTTTGTTCTATGCATAAATTGTTAAATTATAAATTATATAAAAGACAGATAGAGCTTCCAGGTCTGAAAAGCAAAGCCAAGCAGAGCCACGGAGAATTCAGGGTATACTGATTATCTACATTATTACTGACAAGTCACCACAATATAAGCGTGTATTATCCCTCTGTAAACACTCGATGTAAGGCTTCACTAACCAATGGAAGCCATTATAGTCCATCCTTTATTTCCAGTTTATAGATCTAAGTTGTCATTCGATTCCAGCTGCTCAAATACAAAACAAAACAAAAAACTTCACGCAGTAGCTGCACATCTCTCGGTGCTCTCTTATTACATTTTATTCATCAAGCCAGCTGAAAGTTGAGAAACGTGCAGTCGCAGCATTGACACAAGAGATCATCAGCATCCAGCAGGAGTTCATGTCCAGAGGCAGAGTCTTAAACAATAAGCCATCGCCATGTTCTGGACGATAAGATGTTAAGCCTCAGATATTTGTTCCACAATGAGGCTTCCGTATCTG